AAGAAAACAGAAATTGAATGCCGATGCTCAACAATCGGGGTACACACACGAGGTGCCAGGGTGATGAGTAACCCCCAGGGCAGTCTGCTTGGTGGTCTGTTTGCTTAGGGACATGACCAACTCCTATCTTGCAGATTCCTCTGTCGTGCAAAACCTTTGAAGGTCCAGTTCATACTTTCCTTTTTTGCCTTTCCTCTGGGGTCACCCTGGCCAGTAGACAGTGCCACTTAGGGGTCAGAGCTGTGCTGCGGCCTTCAGTCGGAGCCGTGGCTGCGGGTCAGGGAGTTCACGGGGACTGCCCGGCACAGAGCGCGGCTGGAGAATGAGGACGCCCTCTCCGGACGGCTGGGGAGTGAGCCAGCCCCGCTGCCAGCCCCACCACCCTCCACCCCAGCCTCGGGGCCCAGGGTGCTCACCTGCACACACACCCACACTCAGGCACCCAGGGGCAGGCCTGGGGGTGGCCTCAGAGGCCAGTGGTGCAGAAAGCCTGAGGCTTCATTTATGCTGCAGGGAGGGCAATAACGCCAGGCGGGGTCTCGTACCCCGCAGCCAGAGGACACGGGGGTCTCCTTCAGGCCCGGGCCCCCAGGCTGGCTGTACCGTACATAGTAAGAGCGTCCTGCCCCTGCACAGCGGCCAGGCCCACGCTGGGGACCCCTGGACAGGTCTCGGCTTCGGGACCCATTGAGGGGGCTGAAGGGGGACCCCACCAGGCGTGTGGTTTGACGCGTAACTGGGGCACCAGCAGACCCGGGCAGGTGCCCTGTGGACTCGGGAGATGGGTGACGGGAGCCCTGGAGTCCCTGGTCCTCTTCAGGCGTTCAGTGCCCTTTCTGCACCACTTGGAGTGCCGGCGACCGGGGGCGGGGCAGGAAGGGGGCGGGGCTGGCAGGCCTCAGGGACCCCACATATCTCTGCTCTGGGCTCTCTCAGGCCTGCACGTGCTCCCTTTCTCTGCCTTAGCCACCCTGTGTGGGCCCAGGCCCAGGGGCACCCACGTGTGCCCGCCCACACCCCAGTTCCCCTCAGGCCCCGCCCGGCGCCCACGCTCCAAGTGCCTCCTGCACCCGAGGCCGCAGGTGACAGCCCAGACGCCCGGCAGAGGCCTGGCCATCTCGCTTTCCCTACGAGGCCTGGGGCTGCCCCGGCAGCGACCTGCTCCCCATGGCGGCCCCCAGGCGCTCTGCTGTGTTTCCGTGGGTGTCGCTCCCTCTGCTGGGTCATAAATCCGCAGGGCCTGTCTGAGGGTGTCCGCAGGGCCTGTGCTCACACAGCACCCGGCCGGCTAAATAAGCTGAGGGGCCGCGTTCAGTGGTGAGGGAGACCGTGAATGGGGCAGCCCTCGGGCTCCCCTGCTCACAGGGCAGCGGCCGGCGGGGCCGGAGACGGCCCAGAGACGCCAGAGGCCGCGGCCACCGGCCTTTGCCCAGCCGGAAGGAGAAAGCCGGCGACCTTGCCGAGTCTGACCTTGCTCCATGATAGTTTGTGAAGACATTGCAGCTGTCTATAAGATTCGGGGTGACATTTACAGGTTCTAAGCTTGCAATACCTTTCATGAACACCGCCCTCAGCGGCCTCAAGCGTCACGCCGCCCACGTCTCTATCTAACAACCACTTGCAGCGAACCCTGCACAAGAAATAGTCTCATTACTTAGCTGAACTGAGCTCTGAAACTGCGGGTTGGAGCCCCCGGGAATGTTCTGGCCGGGAGAAAACCAAGCCTGCTGTTTCAAACCCGGTCGCTTCTCTCAGGTCTCCACAGAGGAGTCAGGAGGTGGTGGAGCAGAGCATGGGTCTGTTACAGAGAAGTTACCCTGGGCTCGCCTTTACTGCAGAACACCCTGGGCCAAGCCCCCCAGTTTCTAAATGCCGGCCCTACTCAGCCCGTCCCCTGCCCTCCCACAGAACACGCCCCACCTGCCGTGTGGATGGAGCGGCTGGCCCTAGCCCAGCCTTGGAACCCCGCAAGCCCATGTCGTCCACGGTGCCAGTGGGACAGCCCCTTGCAGCCCCCCACTGAGGCCGCTCGAGTCTCCCCTGAGCCCTAACACTTCCCAGTGCCAGGGCTCCACATTGGTTGACTGGGGTGTCCCTCACTCACTGCGAGCAACCGAACCCCCAGGGCGTCCCTAGTGCTCACCTGGGGCAGGGGGTGGGTGGAGACAGATGGGTGGTGGGCGGCGGATGGAGGGGGCATGGGAGATGGGGGGGGGGGGGGATGGGTGGATGGTTGGGTGCGTGGTGACGACAGACATACGTGGCAAATCTCTCCATTTGCCAGCCTCACTGCCCAGACCCCCTCCCCAGCCGCCACCGCTGCACCACCCTGCGGCAAGGCGGGGTCCCATGCTCTTTGAGGGTGCGCGCTGTGCACCCGCTGCCTGGGCTTCCTCTGGACACAGATTTCTGTGGGCTCCAGAACACCTGCCCTCTCCGGCTGGCCCCAGAGCCGCAGGCTCCCACGGGGACACGGACACCGGGAAGGCATTTCGCTCCAGGGTAACTCTAGGTTTGGGCTGCGTCTCTGGATGCATCTGGCCTGTGACCTGCTCGCTCCAGTTCATCGCAAGTAGGACCTGTTATTTCTAGTCAGTTCGGCAAAGCTTAATAAATCTGAAAAACAAAAATCGCAAGCTGCGCGGACAATGAAGACATCCGAGACCGTTATCTTGGCAGACGTTGCATTTATCGTTTTTGTGTCAATACAGAATGTCCCTGCTCAGCATTATATATTCTATATGTACTTTTGCGTATCTCTGTATATATATATGTATATATATATATATATATTAGATATCTGTACTTCGATAGAAAGAGACATAGAAAAGCCTTTTCAAAGGAGGCTGACACGCAACACTGGACACTCTTATTTACAAGAGAGAGATACTCTTTCTACACACCATGATGCTCGGAGACCAGAGAGGGTTTACAGAGACAGCTGAGCACCCCTGCAAAAGAGGGGTGCACGTGCAGCTGGACGTTTATTGCCATTGGTTCTATGTCCAGACAGCAGATTGAAGTCAGAAATGGCATGTATGTGGTTTTTGGAAAGGACACGGTGGCTGGATTCTCCCAGACCCCGCAGCCTGGCTACAAGGTCTTAAAAATGAGCAGCGGGCAACCAACTTCCCGATGGGACCCCGAGACACACAGTGAAATGGGCTCCTCGGCGAGGCCAGCCTCATGCTTTGGCAAAACAGAGACTCTGGCACAAATGCCCCGCCCAGCGCGGGCCGGGGCCGGTCCAGGCAGGGCTGCGACCTCACGCCGGCAGGAGCCAGTCCTCCCGGGCAGTAGATCCGTGTCCAAGGGCGCATGGAAAACAGCAAGGGGAGCTAAGCGGAGGACTCCCTGATCCCAAACAGTTGAAGACAAGGACACAGTGCAAGCTCGGAAAAGACCCCTGTGCGCCAGTCTGCCTCCGCAGAACACTCAGCCCTTCCCTGCGGAGCCGGGATGCGCACGCCTTCGCCCCCGCGGCGCTGGCTGCCTGCACTTCCACCTCCGGCTGGGGTCGTGCATGCCTGGGAAGCATCTGTGTTCCAAAGTCACGTTAATGGAGAAGGAAATACAGTTCTCGGCTGAGCTGTGGGTCTGCTGGGCTTCACCGCGCGGTCACGGCACAGCAGCCGGGGCCTGCAGCCGAGCGCTGCCCTTCCGAGAGGTGTGTGCAAACGGGCTTTCACCGCAGGAGACGACTCTCCCGAGGGAGTCACCCCTGCCGACCGGCGCATCAACTCCCCAGCACAAGTGCACGCGTCTCTCCGCTTCCTTCCGCCCAGAGAGCACGCTCTGGGCCGTGTCACGCATCCTAGTCATTTTCAGAACTCCCCCTTAAGTCGCTTACCAACAACTGGAGCTGAGTCGCCAACCAGCTGCTCTCTCCGATCTCACCTCTGTCCCTGCTGTGGGTTCTGAACATGGGTGACCGTCCCTAGCCCTTTATTTTCCTAAGGCAAGAAGACATTTCTATTGCGAGATGGCCAGCACCCGTCTTAGAGCTCCCCTGAGGCTTTTACCCAGCACCCTCCATGTAGATGCCTTTCTCCCTCCTCAGAGAGGAGCAGCAGCTGACCACGCTGATGGTGCTAGTTTTTCGCAATTGCATCAATGCCAACATAGCATTTCTTTGGAAGGGTATCAGCAGGGGCATCCACACATGTGCATTCATCTCCATGCCCTCCCCCCACTTTTTCTTTCTTTCTTTCTTTTTTTTTTTTGCTAGGCTTAGTCTAAGTCAAGTTTCGCTACTATAGACATATTGAAGCAATCACAAAAATCATCTAGGGACCAGGGCTGTGCATAGAAAAGTGTGGAGAAGCCGGTGGAAGAGGAGCCCACAGGTCCCTTAGAGTCACTCTTCCTTGTGACAGACTTGCGTGGGCCACAACATCACCGCACCCCTGACGTCAATACCCCGCCTACGGCTCTTGTGAAGCGAAGCTGGAGTTCAGAAAGCATTCCTTGGCCCCCCGTGGAGCGAACATGAGGACAGATGAGGAAATGGACATCACAGGGTCTCCAGTGGCACATTAGAATCTCTAAGGGTCCTATTTACACAGTTATGTCCCACTTCTGCACAGAGATTAACCTGAGTTCTGAAATGCTTGTGTGCACTTAATTGGATCAAAAATGATAAAGCTATGAGCTAGTAACAGACTGAGCAAACCTAGTTAAACTGGAACACACCCGTGAGCCGAAGGTGGGTCAAAGTGGGCTCACCCCTGCAAGGGTCCGCTTACTTTTCCCTAGAAAGCGTCTTGAGTGGGACTCCAGGTGGCCAGACGGGATGCACCAAATCTTTGTCTTTCACACTATTGGTTCAGCGTCCCCAGATTCCCAAAATAAAAGCACCTGGAATGTCCAGCCCCACCGCCCTCCCTCCCTTCCTCTTGGAGGTCCACTCTGGAAGGGCAGACGTCTACTCAAGAATGCCCCAGCTAACGCCTCCTTGGGTCGTAGGCATTTCTGGCAAGCTACCTGCTCCCTGAGAGCCGCTACTTGAAGTAGTTGAGTCCTGCCACCAGGAAGAACTTCTCCAGGAACAGTTCTGAATCCAGCACGGCGATGTGGGCGGCGCGCCCAATCAGGGTGTTGGCCGTGCTGGGCAAGGAGTGGAACACGTTGTGTCGGACCAACGTGCAGCCCTTGGCCTCCACCAGCGGGCGGAGAAGGTTGTTGATCATTTCCGCATAAACTGGCCCTGCCGAGGGGAAGAACACGAGGTCAGGCAGATCCCCCAAACCGAACCCAGACACAGACGCCGGGTGTGGCCGGCTCCCGGGGAGACCCTTGGGTGCGAGTCTTCACCCTGCCCTCCATGTTTGTGAAACAAACCGAAAAAAAGAGTTCTCTTGTCTAGTCAAGTAGGAAATGATCATTTCCCTTGTCGATGATGGGGATGTGGCAGTAGAGTGGTGACAGTGATGGTGACAATGGTGACAGAGATGATGGTAGTGGCAGTGGTGATGGAGATGGTGGTGATGATGATGGTGATGATGGTGATGATGGTGGTGATGAGGATGGTGATGGAGATGGTG